ATTTTATTGCATTGAAATAATGTTTCAATAATAATAACGTTTATCACTTTATATTAAAAATAATAAAAAAAAAAAGGTCATTCTCCAGGAATGTATACATCATGTACATCTGTGCTATATTTTTTGTTATTTAATTGATAAAAGTCAAAGTTCAAGTACATTCAATATTAATCATGACTTAATAATCAGCAATTATAAAAGTCAGACTAATCATATACTGATATTCTTCATTTTGTATACATATGTGATAATATACACAGCAAATCATGAATTTTACTTTCAGAAAATTGATTGGCCTACTTTTATTTTCATTTTGTATAGATCTACTTTCACTTTTATTTTGACATGTTTGAAGCCCAATAAATTTTTCATTGTATTTTTTGTTTAAATTGCAATGCATATATACAATGTAAGGCCTTAAATTGAATTGTATGGTTCAGTCTTCACGTTCGGCTGAATGCCCACCAGTCTGTCTTGAAAAATTTCTCAATTCTATTGGGCCTATTAGAATTTCTTTTACAGGCCAATAGATTTTAAACAAAGTTTTCCAAAAAAATAGCACACATGTGCAATAACTTAATTATTACAATAATATCACTTTAGGGGGTTGCCCATTTCTTAATATTAATTGGAACATCTCATGTCAGAGAAATCTTGGTGCAATTTTCTTTACACAGTGGTTCTTTGCACTTGTAGGGTCCAAACCATATAATCATTTCAAGGTACAGTACTTAACCCTGAAAATCATCATTGGCAAGCATTATGAGTACAGGACATGGCCCAGATTTATCCCAACACCTACATGTGAAAAACTGATATGAAATGTACATGAATCAGTAGGTCATTATGTGGGAATATATGTCAGCGTGGTTATTGTGGTATAAACCGGTTTGCATTTTTTTTTTGTAAACAAGATTCATATGTCATGTACATGTTGGTTGTTGTACTATAACTTTATTTTGAAATGTTCATAATGGGCAAACATGGTAAATACTGGTTCAGAAATTGAAAAGATAGGTCTTATTAAGGTCATTAGAGAAGTTAAATAAAACAGGTCCTTTCAGGGAGGACATTTGAAGAAAAAGTACAAAATAGGAAAACTACATGTTGAAAAAAATTTTGGCAAAAATATGCCTTCCTATATCTATACCCTTATCAGACAGAGGTTGAAAACTTGGATTCCATGCTTGCCTAATAATTGATAACTGTATGTTTATGTGCCAGTTGCCCAAATCAGTCTGTCAGTCAGTCATTTAAGATTTTGTAAAATTGATAACTTTGTCAAAACCTCATGCAAGTTTTAGAAACTTGGACAGAAGCTTGTGCATGTTCAAAAGACTTAATCAACAGCAAAATGTTGAAAGTATTTTTTTTTCTGCATTTTTCCATGTATTATACATTGTACGATGTATATATCCTTATAAAAGTATAAAAATGAATACAGTTTAAATTCTTGATATTTTTATTGAAATATGCTGCCTGTACTTAGATAACTTATAAAAATCTATTGAACATGTATTGCTGTATGTAAATATAACTGTATAGGTAGGTATATATACATAGGTAGTTGATAATTATATGTCATACTTAATCTATTGAGTAGTTATCTGTTTCCAAACATCTGTCAATTTTTGAAAATAACTGATACAACCTTGACAGTCCACAGATTTTTTGCAACCTAATTGATAGGTGTGTATTTTATATATGTATTGTACATGTACATGTATTATTTACAATTTTATGCCTCATTTAGAATCTGGTCATGCTGGTTGCCCTATGTGCATTGTAGGTCAAGAAATTTGAAGCTTGGCAGCTATAGCTATGCTTGCAAATTATATTTTTTTTGTACTTTTACAAAGATACTTCAAGAAAATTTTGAATTTTAAAGAATGGTACACAATGTAGGTGAAAAAAAATGTTTTTTTTATTGAAAAAGTCTAGCCAATCTGTTTTGGTTGCTTTATGACAAAATTTGTAAAATAACTTTTAACAATATAAATTCAAAACAAGGATTTATTTGAAACTTAAATAATTTTGATATTTAAACGTGTATATATATAATGAAAAAATTGATAAGAAACATATGATATAAAAACTAACAAAACTGAAGAGGGTTCTAAAGCCATGCATGTATGGGTAAGGTTCATTCAACTTCACTAATATTTCAGTACAAAATAGCTATCAGGGACCCCAGTTAGCTATGCATAGCATGGCTACCCTCCTAAATTAGGGTAGTTTTCATTATACATTTCTTATCAAATTTTTCGAATTCAAAATTAATCCAGATTCAAATTGCGAGTATTCCTTGTTTCAATGGAAAACTATCTATACAGCCTGATGTTATATTTTATTGGTTTAGGCAGGGTTTGGTAAATGGGGCATTAGCTGTTAAATTCATGTTCACCGATTTGACTCAAATTTTCATATTTGATAAATAACATACTAAAACGTATATCCAAATTACAAAAAGTCTAAAATATACAATTAGCAATGCATGAATTGATTAATATTACGTGTGTATTTTTGTCTAGATGTCATCTTATTAACCATCGAGACAGCATCTGAAGACTGCCGATTTTTTGTAGGTCTGTTTGATTTCATATTGTAGGTTAAAAAGTATGTTTATCATCGTTTTTACTAGTATATGAATGATTGTTTTGTGGATCAAATTAGTCAACGAAATGGTTCATCCTTGTTTCACTTTCAATGTTGACATTCTTTTCCTTTTAATAGCTGAATACATGCGTAACCCATCTCCCGCGATAGGGTTAAACTGAAGGTCACAGGAATATGGATTCAATGAGGTCGAAATTATTCACTTGCAAGTGAATCAGCAATATTTCTTAGTTTATTTTGACAAAACTGAACCTTTCACTATTTCACTTTCATTAAAGATTGAACTATTATATCTCATAGCTTATGCCCTTTAATAAGGGTTTCACTGTTATTTTGTGGCAAAGGGAAATAAATCTAAGCAAAATTACATCAATGAAAAACTATCTATACATCCTGATGTCGTATTTTATAGGTTTAGACAGAGTTTGGTTAATAAAGGTTTCACTGTTATTTTGTGCAAAGGGAAATTACTCTAACCCAAATTACATCAATGGAAAACTATCTATCTATATCTATATATATATTATATTTTATTGGATAAGGCAGGGTTTGATTAATAAAGGTTTCACTGTTAATTCCAATCCATATTTAATATCTCCTGAACATTTTTATAACAGTAATTTTGTATTGATAAATTAATAATTCAGTGGTACTGTTTATTAGTTCAGGGCACCCAGGTGAAGACATAATAACTAATTCCTGAAAACTTCCCATCAGAAAGACTGACACAAATTTTCACAGTATAAATAATAAATAAAGCCATGAAAACGACGACATGCTTATAGATCAATTTGAAATGTAAACAATTTGACGTCAGTTAACAATTTGCATGATAATAACTCCTGTTGAATTATTTAAATCTATTGTATTTACCTTACGACAGATGGCTAAAGATCAGAAGTACACCTATGTTTGTAAAAAACTCGTTAAATGATTTTTTATATCAATCTTAGCAGTTCAGAAACTAGAGGTTTGCTGTGAATGGTTGCTGTTACGTGTTGTTAGCGCCTTATGAATAGAATGAGTTTGACATTGCTCCTTATTTCTGTATTTGATCTTTAGAGGAAAATATGGTTATTTATAATTGTTTTAAAGTACATAGAATCTATCACTGATGCCTCTTTTTATATGAAATGTATTTTTTTTTTATAAAATTATCAGGCTGCTAACAGCTTTGCTATTTTGTTAAAAGTGATGCCCCCCGAAAAGCGGATCATCAAAAATTTGCCACCACATACATTTTCATTCTTCAGTTAGACTACAAATAATTATGTTGTGTGCTGTTTATGTTTTTTTTTCTATATCACTTCAGATCTTTTGAGTAGATAAATAAATCTTTCTTGAGTAGTTGAGGAAGTAGATCATGGGAATTTGAAAGTTTCATATTTATTTTAATTGTGACATGGTATCATTTTGAAAATAAGAAGTGCTTCATACTTAAAATGTGTTTACCATAGCTTTTTTTACAAGCCTATAAAATTACAAAAAAGCATTCAATTCTTATAATTACATTTATATTTTGCAACCATGAAATAATGAGTTATACCAAGCTTTTTGTTGATTTTCCTATGCATGGTTGTGACATTGTCATGGGAAGCACGTGCAGCCATGAATGATGGCATTTTATTGTGAAATAAAATCTTATTTTAGAATGTTTTGTTGTCAGCCAATCAAAAGAACGGTTTCTTATGAAACACATATGTAATGTAATTATAGTTATATAATATAAATGTTGACATGGTATCAGAATGAAAAATAAGAAGCTGTGGTGAGATTGCCAATAAGACAAACTATCCAGCAGAGAAAGACCCATATGACATTTTTATGCCCTCGCCTTAGACAAAGGGGGCATTTATAAGTGTTTCCCTTTCCGTCCGTCCATCCGTCCCATTCATCGTTTCAGCACTCGTAACTTAAGTTTGCCATATCCAAATTTTATGAAACTCATACATAAAGATAAGAACCACAACATGCAGACAGCATTCGTAATTGGGTTGTGAGTCATTTACCGTTCAAGTGTTATGCGCCTTTTTAACTTGGAAAATTGTAAAACTTGAACAGGGGCAGTTTTGTCCTCAGACACATTCTTCTTTTATTTTCTTTTATTGCTAGTCAGAATTTTTTTTTATTCAAAATGTGGTTGCAATAACGTCAAAAGTAATCTTTCTTCTCAAATTTTCTTGCTACATCCTCCTGCCAAAAGTATGTTAATTATACAAATGTATTTTATTCCTTGAAACTTCTTTGTCTATTGTGATGTCATTGTTTGTCATGGTTATTCATGCATTTATCTCCTCAAAATTGTGACATTATCCAATCATTATCAACATTACAAAGAACATTACATTACAACAATGCTGATTGGTTTTTGTTTTCTTTTGCAGATAATCCAGGTTCTATACACTTTGACCCCAGAACAAAGTCTGTGATGGCAGAAACCTCTCATCTGCAAGATAATATTAAAGAGAAGGTATGAATTGAACAAAAATATATTTGTGTCGGGGAAATGGCAGTTGTAGGGATGTTTTCATTATGAATACAACATACATTAATATAAAAATACGAAGAAATTATTGCCAATTAGATAACTCTCCACCACAGATCAAATGACCTAGAAATTAACATTATGTGTGTTCTTTACCATTGGAAACTATTGATTTATCATTTATTAAGTCTCCCAAACGAAGTTTGGGAAGACTTATTGTTTTTGCTCAGTTCTTATTATTATTATTCTTCTTCTTCTTCTTCTTCTTCTTCTTCCGCCACTTTTAAATTTGAACTTGTCCGCACCTGTTCTCCAAAACCGCTTGTCAGATTAACTTAGGGTTTCACAATATGTTAGACTAACATGTCTAGTGGTGCAATCAGGGTTTTGTTTGTGCAATGGGGTTTATAAAGGGGTACTTTGAGGGGCAAAAAGAAAAGAGGGTTTTACTATAGAACCCTATGGGATTTTATTTTTTTAAATTTTCAAATGATTATAAATTGAAAACCGTTTGTGATAGACACAATCTTTTTAATTGAAAATGTTCTAAATGATAAAGCCCATTAAATGAAATACAGGGTTAGTCCCCAGGGGTCACCCCCACCCCCTGCCATTTAAGAAAGTTCTAATATCTTGTAAGTGGTCAAGATCCCCACCCCTAAACCATATATATTTTGGTTTGTTATGCTAAGATGGTTTGAATGATATACAGGGTTAGTCCCCAGGGGTCACCCCGACCCCCTGCCATTTGAGAAAGTTCTAATATCTTGTAAATGGTCGAGATCCCCACCCCTAAACCATATATATTCTGGTTTGTCATGACAAAGCACATCAAATGAAATACAGGGTTAGTCCCCAGGGGTCACCCCCACCCCCTGCCATTTAAGAAAGTTCTAATATCTTCTAAGTGGTCAAGATCCCCACCCCTAAACCATATATATTCTGGTTTGTCATGCTAAGATGGTTTGAATGATATACAGGGTTAGTCCCCAGGGGTTATCCCGACCCCCTGCCATTTGAGAAAGTTCTAATATCTTGTAAATGGTGGAGATCCCCACCCCTAAACCATATATATTCTGGTTTGTCATGATAAAGCACATCATATGAAATACAGGGTTAGTCCCCAGGGGTCACCCCCACCCCCTGCCATTAAGAAAGTTCTAATATCTTGTAAGTGGTCAAGATCCCCAGCCCTAAACCATATATATTCTGGTTTGTCATGCTAAGATGGTTTGAATGATATACAGGGTTAGTCCCCAGGGGTCATCCCGACCCCCTGCCATTTGAGAAAGTTCTAATATCTTGTAAATGGTCGAGATCCCCACCCCTAAACCATATATATTCTGGTTTGTCATGATAAAGCACATCATATGAAATACAGGGTTAGTCCCCAGGGGTCACCCCCACCCCCTGCCATTTAAGAAAGTTCTAATATCTTGTAAGTGGTCAAGATCCCCACCCCTAAACCATATATATTCTGGTTTGTCATGCTAAGATGGTTTGATTGATATACAGGGTTAGTCCCCAGGTGTCATCCCGACCCCCTGCCATTTGAGAAAGTTCTAATATCTTGTAAATGGTCGAGATCCCCACCCCTAAACCATATATATTCTGGTTTGTCATGATAAAGCACTTCAAATGAAATACAGGGTTAGTCCCCAGGGGTCAGCCCCACCCCCTGCCATTTAAGAAAGTTCTAATATCTTCTAAGTGGTCAAGATCCCCACCCCTAAACCATATATATTCTGGTTTGTCATGCTAAGATGGTTTGAATGATATACAGGGTTAGTCCCCAGGGGTCATCCCCACCCCCTGCCATTTGAGAAAGTTCTAATATCTTGTAAATGGTCGAGATCCCCACCCCTAAACCATATATATTCCTATTTGTTATGTCTAGAACATTTGAATGACGTATACGGTCAGTCCCCAGGGGTCCCCCCCCCACCCCCAATGTTCTAATATCTTGTAAATGGTTGAGATCCCCACCCCTAAACCATATATATTCCTGTTCGTCATGTAATGAACATTTGAATGACGTATAGGTCCAGTCCCCAGGGGTTCCTCCCCACCCCCAATGTTCTAGTATCTTGTAAATGGTCGAGATCCCCACCCCTAAACCATATATATTCTGGTTTGTCATGATAAAGCACATCAAATGAAATACAGGCTTAGTCCCCAGGGGTCACCCCCACCCCCTGCCATTTGAGAAAGTTCTAATATCTTGTAAATGGTTATCCCCACCCCTAAACCATATATATTCCTATTTGTCATGTCTCGAACATTTGAATGACGTATACGGTCAGTCCCCTGGGGTCCCCCCCCCACCCCCAATGTTCTAATATTTTGTAAATGGTTGAGATCCCCACCCCTAAACCATATATATTCCTGTTCGTCATGTAATGAACATTTGAATGACGTATAGGGCCAGTCCCCAGGGGTTCCTCCCCACCCCCAATGTTCTAGTATCTTGTAAATGGTCGAGATCCCCACCCCTAAACCATATATATTCTGGTTTGTCATGCCAAGATGATTTGAATGATATACAAGGTTAGTCCCCAGGCATCACTAATGCATATAACTTTACTAAACCAATTTTCACTGGAAGTTGCCCAATGTCTGGCGACCCTGGGAATTATGAATTATGGGAGCTTCGTTTGGGAGACTTCGTAACAGCATCCTGTTACATTCATTTCTTGTTTTTTTCTGTAATTAAAAGAGAGGCGAAAGATACCAAAGGGATATTCAAACTCATATATATATATATATATGTCGAAAACAAACTGCCAATGCCATGGCAAGAAAAAAACCCAAATTAAACAATTTAGATAGGGATGTAACTGGATAAATTCCTTTTTTCTTGTTTTTTTCTTTTTCTTCTTCATTTTCCACTCCTATACTATCTGTTAATTATTATTATTTATTTTAATATTATTTGAGCATCACTGATGAGTCTTTTGTAGACAAAATGTGCGTCTGGCATACAAAATTATAAGCCTGGTATCTTTGATGAGCTTTTATGCCTGGTCATGTCGGAGGGGGCATTAAGTTTTACCCTTGTTCGTCTGTAATTCAGTCTAACCATACATCCCAAAAATTAGTTTCTGTTCTCTAACTTTAGTATCATGAAACTAACACACAATGTTAATTACCACCAAACACAGATCAAGCTCAAATTAAATTTTCGTCACTTTTACTGTTCTTAATTTATTTCCCTTTATAAATTGAAAAACTGCTGAATTTGCAGTATATTTACAAGTAGGGGCATATGTGTGCCATGGACACCTTCTTTTATTTTTTTTTATTCATGTTATAATATGACAACTTTTCTACTTTTCCAGGTGAATGCCGTCCGTGAAGTCGTACCTGGGAAAAGTAATAACGAGATAATCCTAGTTTTACAGTTTTATGATTATAACGTAGAGAAGGCTATACAGGGATATGTTGAAGGTATGATAATACTTACTTATAATCTTATTAATTAATTATTATAATCTTGTTAATTAATTAATTTACAAATTTACAAAGTAGGTAATCTGAGTTTTGCAATGTTGAAAAACCTAGTTTACAGTAGCAAGATTTGAAATAAGCAGTGGCCCAAATTCTTTCAAAAAAAGTGTTCCCTTATTTCAAATTCCGTAAATTTCAGTTGATTTTGACTTGGTGGTCCAAGGACACAGTTATCGTCCTTTGGTTTTCGTTGTCTTACTAATATAGTCCCTAGTGTGGACAGTGTATAACTTGCATTTTTTTTTTGATACACTTTCCCAATTTATTTCTTGATATTTTATGCGTGAAATATTAAGTAAAGGGATGAAATTACATGTTAAAAAAAATTTGGGTGCTGAATCTTTATGTTAAGTAGTGATTTGGTCCAGTTAAAAAAGGTCAAAAATTAGAATGTCTGAAGCTGTCAAACTGAATTTTAGCCCCCATTAACACAGAATTGTCAATATTTTGAGTTAGAGCTGGTAGAAGTTTCTATAATTTTGATATTATTTGTATCAATAGTAGTACACTACACTGTAAAAATCTTTTTAAGATAGAGCAGGTGCGATTTTTTTAATTTGAATTTATTGTCTAAAAGAAATGCACTACGAAATAACTGTGTTCTCGGGCCTAAGATGTCATCAAATGGAAGCGCCACCATGTTTACACTTTCATCCAGGCAACAAACAAAGAAAGATAACTCATATTTGCAATGTTTTTCAACAGGAAATATAATAGAGGTATGCCAATCCCGGTAAAGCTGTCTGAAGCATATATAAACCGGGATTAGTCCACAAAAGGGTTAATTGCCAGCAGAATGAGAGATGAAACTTTTGGAAAAATATGAAGAATATGAAGATATTTTTCTCAATTTTTTTTTCTCAATGAATAGTAGTCTACGAAAAACAACATTGCATAATACGAATAGGGCATTCAAATTATGAAAGAAGTTGTAAACTACCTTAATATAAAAATAAGGAGATGTGGTATAATTGCAAATGAATCAACTCTAAAAAAAAAAAATACCAAATGATTTGGATGTAAACAAATGCTGGTATGGTTTTCAACAATGAGTGAAATGTATTCTGTATAGAAATCCTTTCTCAAGTTTATTTATGGTGCAAAAACGATTAGATATAGATAGTTTATTTCTTAGTATAATTTATAGCATTTAACCTGTCTGATTGTTGTTTTTTTTATCCTTGACCTTTGCCTTATATAAATTTATAAATATTTAAAATCAAATTTCAAGGAAATAAGCAATCTGATTAAAATACCTATCCTGTGTACAAGTTTTGCTTACAAGGATCTGACAAACTCCTACTTTCTGTTCTGGTATTTATAACATCATCCAATGAAATTTCACACTTCACATTTTTGAAAATGTGTATCACTACAAAAAAAACCTAAAGCTTCTGAAAGATATCAGAAACAGAAAGTAGGACAGAGTATTGGAAACAGAACTTAGGACAGAAGATTGGAAACAGAAAGTAGGACAGATGATTGGAAACAGAAAGTTGAACAGCGTAATTGGAAACAGAAAGTAGGACAGAGGATAGGAAACAGAAAGTAGGACAGAGGATTGGAAACAGAAAGAAGAACAGAGGATTGGAAACAGAAAGTAGGACAGAGGATTGGAAGCAGAAAGTAGGACAGAGGATTGGAAGCAGAAAGAAGGACAGAGGATAGGAAACAGAAAGTAGTACAGAGGATTGGAAGCAGAAAGAAGGACAGAGGATAGGAAACAGAAAGTAGTACAGAGGATTGGAAACAGAAAGAAGAACAGAGGATTGGAAACAGAAAGTAGGACAGAGGATTGGAAGCAGAAAGAAGGACACAGGATTGGAAACAGAAAGTAGGACAGAAGATTGGAAACAGAAAGTAGGACAGAGGATTGGAAGCAGAAAGAAGGACAGAGGATTGGAAACAGAAAGTAGGACAGAGGATTGGAAACAGAAAGTAGGACAGAGGATTGGAAACAGAAAGTAGGACAGAGGATTGGAAGCAGAAAGAAGGACAGAGGATTGGAAACAGAAAGAAGGACAGATGATTGGAAACAGAAAGTAGGACAGAGGATTGGAAACAGAAAGTAGGACAGAGGATTGGAAGCAGAAAGAAGGACAGAGGATTGGAAACAGAAAGAAGGACAGATGATTGGAAACAGAAAGTAGGACAGAGGATTGGAAACAGAAAGTAGGACAGAAGATTGGAAACAGAAAGTAGGACAGATGATTGGAAACAGAAAATCGGTCAGAGGATAAGAAACAGAAAGTAGGACAGAAGATTAGAAACAAAGTAGAACAGAGGATTGGAAACAGAAAGTAGGATAGAGCATAGGAAACAGAAACTAGGACATAGGATTAGAAACAGAAAGTAGGACAGAGGATTGGAAACAGAAAGTAGGACAGAGGATAATATTAGAAACAGAAAGTAGGACAGAGGATTGTCAGATCCTTGTAAATGAGCATGGACACAGGATCTATATTTCAATCAGATTGGAAAATAAGTGAACACATGAATGATTTATGATTAAGATTATAACACAATGTTGACGGCTGTGCCCCTATTTTTGACATTTTTACCTATGATGTCTGTATGTTTTGTTCACACATCGTTGTCAATATAATGGAATTTTATGCAAATGTCATACAAGTGAAGTTTAGCTAGCTATAAAACCAGGTTTATTCCAACATTTTCTACATATGGAAATGCCTGTAACAAGTCAGGAATATGACAGTTGTTTTCTATTCATTTGATGTGTTTAAGCTTTTGATTTTGCCATAAAGGACTTTCCATTTTTATATTTCCTTGGAGTTCGGTATTTTTGTTATTTTACTTTTTATATAAAATAATGATGTGTATTGTTGTAAATTTCAGATGGAGCCAAACAAGCATTGCAAGAATGGCATTACCCAGGGAACAAGGCCCCGAAAAAGAAAAGAAATAAAAAGAAAAAACCTGCAAATGACAACTCGTCTCATGTTAATGGAGACGTGTCTTCAGCAGAAACCGTTCCAAACGGCATTGTTGCAAATGGTAAATTTGTTAAGATTTTGTACTTTTGGCTGAATATAACAAAGTGCTACACACATGACAAAGCTCTCAAAATGTCGATAAATGACTATTTCCAATAGGATCCTACCCAATCACTAGGGTATTTCTAAAATAATCTTGTTTTTCTGCTGAAGGGATAGCCCTAACGAGAAGTGGTCCACTGAATTTCCCTCTGCATTTGTTACGTTTAATCACATGTTAACAGTTTGGAATCACATATGTCGTAAATTTCAAAATGCTGGGTTTTTTTTGTGCCTACTGCAGATTCATCCATTTTCATGGGTACAAATATACTTTTTGCTAATTTTCAGGTTCCATTGAATCTGACACAGAGCCAGTAAAGACAAACTCCATCAGTGATATATCCAGCTCAGTCAGCAGTTTGTCTCTCTCGCCAACTACTTGTACAGTCCCCAGTATTACTGAATGTGATAAAGTCAATCACGTAACGCCTACCGACACATCACAGAATTCTGTATCGTCTCAGAAACATGCAAATGTCAACCATGTATGGCCTACTGACACATCGCAGAATTCAGTATCGACTCAGAAACATGCAAAAGTCAATCATGTATCACCAGGGAAAACTCCACAGAATTCAATAACCACTTCACGTCATGCAGATAATTCTGTATCATCCTCGAGGACAGCCGATAAACCAGTAGCAGTATCAATTCGTTCTGATCCGCATCCGTCATCGTCAGGACCCAATCGCAAAAAATCCCAGTCGCCCATAGCAACAGGATCATCAACTCAACGAAATAAATCACAATCACCTCAAACTGGTGGAAAACCAGGGCAACCATCTAATGCAAAATTAACACAATCATCAACGACCAAGAGTCAGCCTCTTGTTAGCACACTGCCAGAAAACATTTCATCACAACCCCCAGCCCCTCAGCGACAAACACATCCACATTCTAGACCACATCATTCAGGTAAAAGATAGAAAAGACTTTTTTTTTGCGGTCGTATATTGGTATGACGTTGGCGTCATCGTCGTCCGAAGACACATTGGTTTTCGCACTCTAACTTTAGTTTAAGTGAATGGATCTCTATGAAATTTTACCATAAGGTTCAATACCACAAAAGGAAGGTGGGGATTGATTTTGGGGGTTATGGTACCAACAGTTAAGCATTTTTGTAACTTCCAGACATAACTTGTGTGTTAGTGTATGGATCTCTCTGACATTGTACCACAAGATTCAATATCACTAAGGGAATGCTGGGATTGATTTTGGGGGTAATTGCTTCCAAATTTTAGGAATTAAGGGCCAAAAAATTGGCAAAAAACAAGCATTTTTCTAGTTTAATGGCAATAACTTGTGTGTAAGTGTATGGATCTCTCTGACATTGTACCACAAGGTTCCATATCACAAAAGGAATGCTGGGATTGATTTTTGGGGTAATTGCCTCCAAATTTTAGGAATTAGGGGCCAAAAGGGGCAAAAAACAAACATTTTTCTAGCTTCATGACAATAACTTGTGTGTACGTGTATGGATCTTTATGAAATTGTACTACAAGGTTTCATATCACAAAGGGAATGCTGGGATTGATTTTGGGGGTAATTGCCTCCAATTTTAGGAATTAGGGGCCAAAAAGGGGCAAAAAACAAGCATTTTTCTAGTTTCATGACAATAACTTGTGTGTACGTGTATGGATCTTTATGAAATTGTACTACAAGGTTCCATATCACAAAGGGAAAGCTGGAATTGAGTTTGGGGGTAATTGCCCAAATGGTTTAGGAATAAGGGGCAAAAAAACAAGCATTCTTCTAGTTTCCAGACAATAACTTGTGTTCAAGTGTATGGATCTCTCTGAAATTGTACTGCAAGGAACCATACCACAAAGGGGAGGCTGGGATTGAGTTTGGGGGTGATGAATCATAAAGGGGTTCAAAAAATTTGGGGGGGGATTTTTTTTTCGTTTTTTTCTTTAAAATTTTCCATTTTAAATTGGTTATTTCTGATTTATATATAAAAGCAAATGATAATGATATGGTTTGAATAGGTAAATTAAAAAAATTTAAGTTCTTAGACCACATTCATTCTGTGTCAGAAACCTATGCGGTGTCAAATATTTAATTACAATCCAAATTCAGTGCTGTATCAAGCTTGAATGTTGTGTCCATACTTGCCCCAACTGTTCAGGGTTCGACCTCTGCGGTCGTATCAAGCTGCGCCCCAGCGGAGCATTTTATTGATTAGGCCACCCTTAAAAAAATTCTTTGTTTGATGTTGCCTACCCATGCCTTGAAGGGTTTGGGTAGGTAGGTAGGGATTTAATTTTTTTTTTGCCAACAACATAAGTTACTTTTTTTAGAAAAGAAAACAACATTAAAAGCAGGAAAATCTAAAAAAAAAAAAATTGAAACGATTTGTGTCATAAAATTTTTCGGGTTAGGCTACTTTTTAGGTGGGTAAGTAGGCAAGATCAAACAATTTAGAGTTTATTTTTGGCCTAAACATGACTTGTCACTTATTCAATGTTTTAAACAAAATTATCGCTGGGAATTTAAATGAGTCTGCTGAAAGATATTCCCACATTTTTCCTCATTAAGTAATTGTTTCTTTAATGTCTTATAAATGTCAAATTTGCACTAGAAAAAAAGAAAGTAAAATCTTTAGATGCAAACTTAAAAAACTTGTGGTTTACTTATACAGAGGGGCTGAAGGACCTTTTTCAGGACATCAGGATTGGGCCCTTATTTTTGCTGGAATTCAAGATAAGGCCTTTGTTTTCGCAGGAATTCAGGATGTTACTTATCGGGACTCAGGAATTAATGATTAATTTTTGGGGATCAGTGAAAGAATGTACTTTTTTGGGGAATTGGGGTGGGATGACACGCCCTCCTACATAAACAGCCATCCATCATCATCATTTAGGATTCCAATGTGAAAACTGCTCCCATTTTACTAAATGAAACAAAGAAACAGAATTTATTTAAAGTTAGAATTGTTTTTTTTTGAAATGCAAAAATATGGCATAATCTATTCAATTTTGTGTAAAATGGCAAATGCAACATGACATTTTTTTTTGAATTTTTCAGCAGCTTCTCATTCTCATAGGCAGAGAACAGCGAGTGAAAGAATTTCAGATGGTCACTCACTGCCCAAACAGATTCACAAAAGTAGGTTTAGTGCAAATAAGAAATATGTCAGGACTGTTCCATAAAAACGTACATGTGCCTGTCCCAAGTCAGGAGCCTGTAGTTCAGTGGTTGTTGTTGGTTCATGTCTGTCATATTTTTTTTTTGTAAAGGGTTATGTTATAAATAAGGTCGTTAGTTTTCTTGTTTGAACTGTTTCACATTTTTCAAATCAGGCCTTTTATAGATGACTAAACAGTATGGGTTTTTTCATAGTTAAAGGCCTCACGGTAGTCTATAATTGCTTACATCCACTTCATCTGAACTCTGGTGGATAGTTGTCTCCTTGGCAATCATACATCTCCTTTGTTTACATGGGACCCAGGGAAGGCAAGTAGAATTTGCCACTACGCAAAGAAGTGATATGTTATATTGTACAGGTTTAAAATTTATGCAGGTCTCCAAAATTGCTACTATGGGTGGTAACCATGGTAACCCTATTTTCAAAGTGCTTTCACTGGATACCATGTAGGTTTCAATGGAACAGCCCTCAAACATTTATCTATTTATTATCAATTTAGCTTAGTTATAAATTTTCATTTAAGAGGGTACAGAACACCTATGGGAATGAAGTCTTTAAAAAATCAGCTGAATGGTTTAATCACATACTATTTGTAAAGACATATCAAGCTTCTCAATGATCAAAATTAGTGTTTGTCAAACTGCTATATATTCAATGAATTTATTCCTGTTACTTGTGTTTTTCAAATTTAAAAAAAAAGTTTTTTTTTTTGTCAGGTCAAAGTAAATATTTTGTCAAAATTTTATGAAAATTAAACATCTATTTTAGTCTAAGTCTTGGATCCATGTAATCAAGAAGGTTTGATTTCAACTAAGATCTTTATTCACATTTGTACAAATTAAAACCCTTTTAAATTGGTGAAATTTACATGTTGTGGAATGGATATTATGAACGTGTATGTCTTAACTTATTGTCATATTTCTTTACCATTATAAAGACAATAAATTTTCACCGACTTCAAAGGTACACTCTTTCTACACAACGTGAAAATACAGACATCAAGGTTGATAGAGAACAGAAAAATAAACAAACTTACAAACAGCCATTTTATTTGACACTCACAACTCCTGTATAGAATTCAGGAGATGTGGTATGATTGCCAATGTGATAACTATCCACCAGAGTTCTAATGGGTGGATGTAAGCAATTATAGGTCACTATAAAGCCTTCAACAATGAGAAAACCCCATACTGTATAGTCAGCAATGATTACGGTATCAGAATAATACCTGTCATGATTATCAAACATAATTTGTAGTGTAACAGAACATACAATGATAAGTTACTGATTTGAATTATCTACATAAAATATTAGAGGGTCTGGATGGGGTCTTTCATTTCTGAATAAGTTAATTCTTTAGGCCTTTTTCCTGTATTCTTTATACTTTTTGCCCATCATTCTCTATTCTTCATATTTTAGCACCTCATTATTCTCCATTTTTTATTTTTTTGGTCCATTTTTCTCTATTCTTTATATTTTTTGCCAAATATTCTCTATTCTGTAAACCCCCTTCCAGACCTTCATATTAAATCAAGGGAAATAAGTATAAATGGAGATATGATTATAAAAAAAAAAATGATTCACTGTTAAAAAAAAAAAAAAAGAAAGAAAGATTGAAAAAAAATATTTGGAAAATAGTGTCCGTAATAGTACAACATAATTTTATTTGTTTTCAGCTTTAGAGAAATCAGTTAAAGACTTACACAGACAAACAGTGTCGTTAGAAAGATTACGTTTGATACTGGATGAAGAGATGGATAAAAACTACAAACGAATAAAATCTGTCTTTGATGAAATGAGGACCTGGTAAGATACAAATTGCTGAAAATTCAAACCATATATAGATAATCTATAAATCAGTTGCTTTTAATTTGTAAGATTCAAAGTTTAAAGCTCAAGAAAGAATTATATTAACTTCAAGACGATAGGATTGAGCATATGAAAATAAGATGTGATATAATTGCCAATGAGACAACATTCCACCAGAGACCAAATGACATAGAAGTAAACAACATTAGGTCACCATATGGCCATTGCAAGTAAAAATCTGGTGATAGGTCACACTTGGTGATGTCTCAGTCAAGAAAATAAGGAAAGGATTGTGGCAACGACACGTGGAACATATCTATGGTCAAGATAAAGAGGACAGTTGTAGTTTATAAAGACTTCACAGATGAAAAAAAAAAAGTTGTGAATCAAAAGTTTTTCAAATCAGTAAGATGCATTATAGAATTTAGAATTTAAAATTTTTTAAAAACTTCTATTTTAAAAAAAGATTTTTATTTTCAGTTTAAATGACCGAGAGGTTGAACTAATCCAACAAATGGACCAAGTCAAAGTTGTGGCAAGTAAGTTTGTAAAAGAGAGACGAAACATACCAAAGGGACATTCATACTCATAAGTCGAAGTTGTACTGACAACGCCGTGGCTTAAAATAGAAAAAGACAAACAGACAAACAACAGTACACAAAACACAACATAGAAAAACCAAATACTAAGCAACACGAACCAAACCAAAACGGGGGGGTGGGTGGGTGGTGATCTCAGGTGCTCCTGAAGGGTAGGCAGATCCTGCTCCACATGTGGCACCTGTTGTGTTGCTCAGAAACTTGTCACTATAGAGTCTTATTTTTGTCAGTCAAATCTTGAAAAAAGAACTTGTGATGTACTAAGAATCTCTTAAATTCGATTTGAAAGATCAAGAGACCAAAACCGTTGGCCATAGTAGGACCAGCAGATGAAATGAACGAGAAAGTGCTGTCATTTTCCTGACATTTTTTTAAGATTATGGCCATATGATCATGATAATGCTCGTTATTGAATACTTGTCTAATATTTGCCACTGGTTGTTAAGAAATCATCCATCTATCATCAATTTTGTGATAGTCACTGAAAAATAGTAGCCAAAATTGAAATTTTGGTATGATTGCCAATGAGACAACTATCAACCATAGATCAAATGAAGTGGATGTAAGCAATTATAGGCAACTGTATAGCCTTCAACAATGAGAAAAAACATACCGTATAGTGGGCTATAAAAGGCCCTGATATGAAAAATGTGAAACAATTCAATTGAGAAAACTATAGACTGATTTTAGTACAAAACAATAAACAAAAAACAAATATGAAATACTGCAACAAACGACAACCTGATATAGTGGTTATTATATTTTAGGTGATACCTTCCATATGAGACAGAATAGTGCTGTTGACCTTAAAAAGAACATAGATAGGGCTGACAGAATGGACGATAAACAGATAGCTCAACTTAGAGCTGATGTTAAGGTATTTTTTATTTAATAATCTATTTGCCATTTCCCATAAGGGCTGTTCCATTAAAACATACATGGTACCCAGGGAAGGCATTTTAAAAATGGGGTAACCACCTATAGAGGTAAATTTCATTTATATTTCCACTATGCAAAAACATAGATGACACCCACCCATAGTTGAGATTTGGAAGTGCCTTCCCTGGGTCCCATGTATGTTTTAATGGAACGGCCATAATTGACCCTGTAATTTATTACCTTTTTTTTTAGTTGTCTCCCTTAAGAGGGACATAAATTTTAAATATCAATGGAGAACCAGCTAAAAGAGCAAATTTATCTGTGCTTATTAAATGTGTATAACCTTTTAAGTTCTTAAATCTTTTAACTACATTTAATTTTTGATTCAGCTAAAAACTTTTGATACAAATAGTTTATTTTTCACTAAAAATTGGTTCTTACGCTGATATATAACACTTTTAACTTATCAAAAGCCGATTTTGTTCGGTATGGTACCAGTCTACCATTGACAAAGGGAAGCAATGGTAATTGGAAAATGGACTATCCATATTTAAAATATGGTGCATTCATAATAATTGTGTGCTCTTAATATTGCAATTGTTGAAAAAGGGATAAAAATGTGAGGTTAATTAGTGGATTTCAGGAAAAGCTGCATACAAAAAATGCTATCAAAATTCAAACAGCAAGTTTTTATATTGTCCCGCTTGCAACGAAAGTCCAAGATTACTATCAGGTTGGGGGCGGTGTAAACTATTTGAATAAAGTTTTATATTTCAGAAGGTAGAAGACCTGGATGCATCATGCCTTGTATACAGATACCTTATGTTACGAAGTTTCAGTCTGTCATATGTCCATTGTCCTTGACCTCTTTTTCATGGTTCAGCGACTGTTTGAAAAAAATTATTGTTTTTGTCTCGCTTGTGACAAAAGTCGCAGAAAACGAGACATAGGTATTTTTTTCCGGTGACGGCATCAACAATTGTTAAGTTTCTTAAGTTAGAAACTACTTGTGATAGATCATTGATATTTTGTATGAAGATGCATTACTATCAGTACATATCAGTTGGTTGAAAATTTTGAGACTCTGTCCCCTAGGTCATAGTCCAGTGACTTTGAATTGATAAGCAGTTTTCAATGTTAAGTTTTCTGCTTGAGTTAGTTTAATAATTATAATAATATGAACTACTTGCGATAAATCAATGATATCTTCTATAAAGTTGCATTACTATCAGTTCATATCAGTTTGACGACTATTTCAAGGCCCTACCCCTAGGTCCAGTGACTTTCAATCAGTCAAAAATTTTCAATGTTAAATTTTCTGATAAAGTAAGTTTGAATTGAACTACTTACAATAGACAATATTTTCTATAAAGTTACATTGCTGTCTGTACATCTCAGTTTGTCAACCATTTTAAGGCCCTTACCAACTAGTTGGTCCAGCGACTTTGAATTAATTAGCACTGTTGCTTTCCATCAGATTGTCTTTTTCCGGATTTTATGCCAACAGGTGAGACATACCTCTGTGCCAACAGTTTATTTATATACTAATAGCAATAGATCATCTTCATTTGGTGTATGGAATAATTGTAAGGTGTACATGTCTGTCTCTCTATTATTGCGAAACCTATAATGTCGCAATTTCCCCGATAAATTAAAATTTGAATAGAAGATGTTGGGTATATATCAACTCATCAACACAGAAAACAAAAAAAAAAACAAAAATAAAATATTTTACATTTCAAATTGGTGTCTAAGGGGTATGATGTTCAGAAAAGCTTAAAATGGAATAAACATCAAATTTCTTATGTTCGAAGCTATGATTATTTAAATTTATCTATTTTTTCAGCATTTTGTCAGTGAAAGAAAAATGGATGAAGATTTAAGTCGGACAACAAGATTTTTGTATGATTCTGATTATCTTAAAAAAGTAAGTTTTTTTATATGAAACTTATGAATGCAAGTCAGCATGAGGTAAAGGTAATTGAGACAGAAAACTGCCAAGAAATAACAGGACTGTTGAACATGGGAAAAATCTTTATTTAGGTGATTTGATATATTTTATTTGAACCTAGGATACCAAGGGCAAATAACTTGACTAATTAAATCTGACCCACTTTGCATTTGAAAATGAGGCTTGAAATATATCTGCCATAGGGATCTTGTGATTGGTTGATCTTGTTTGGCTGAGGTCATAAGTTCAATCAATGGTCTAAAGGCTTTAAAACTGGTATTGGCTTTTTTCCCAAAATCAAGTACTATATAAGGATTAAGAGCAAAAAGTCAGAATCGTGTGTCAGTGTTGTATTAATTTTCTTTCTGTGGAATCCTCGTGAGGTAGCGGGATAAAAATCTGATTGAATGTTTTGGCTTAGTACAAAATAAGGTTGATATATAAGGAATAACAGTACTGTAGTTGAAGAGTTTGACAGTCGCAAATGCAGTTTTACTGGCGACGCGTAGCTGATACAGTAAAACGGATATTTGAGACCGTCAAATCAAAATTGACGGTGGCAACTCTTCAACTACAGTACTGTTATTCTGATTCTAATGCATTACAAAAAGAAATGATACGTTAAAGCTTGAAAAAATGTATAAATTTGACATACAAACAAATTCAGCAAAACTTCATGAATGATTTATGTGCAAAGACGTCATGGCTAAACGTGACGTCATAAATAATGAAAACTTACAAACTGGTTAATACATTACCTCTACGATTCAAATTCGGATAAAATTACATTAAAACGGTGAATTCGAGGTAGGTATTATTTTATTTTCGTTAATATTGTAGTAATCGAACATTTGTTGATCCATCAATTCAAAATGGCGGGTCCCTCCTTAGTTACGCCTGGTCAACTGTGGTTTTGACGGTAACTTTTAGCCAATGAAAAAAATTGTTACATAAAAATTGCATTAGAATTATTATTATATGATATAATATAGAAAAAATGAGATGTTGTATGATTGCCAGTGAGATGGCTATCCACCAGGACCATATGACTGGGATGTTGACAGCTATGGGTCATCTAATGGGCTCAACATTGAGCAAAACCCATTTGGTATAGTAAGTAATAAAAGGCACCTATATGGCAACATGTAAAACAATTATAACAAGAAATCTAAGGGTCTGATTTATGAAGAAATAATAAACAAAAAACATAAACTTGTTATCATCCTGAATACTGAATTTAATTCATTCTGGGTGTTATTTTCAAAAGTGTACACCAAAACGTTGGGATTGGAAATTCAACCAATGTTGTGACGTTATTTTCATTTTTGTGTACGAAAAATAAAATAACCCATAGTTCTTTATATTATGAAATGGCTAATTGTCCAGTGATCTGGGAGTTGACACAATGCATAGACAATATAACAGAACTTCAATCTTCATGCCACTGGATGTTAAGCAACTGACAATCAATCAATCAATCTTCATGATCTTCTACTTAAGGCTAAAAGTTCAAAAAAGTATTTTTTTATGAAAACAAGTTTATAATTTAGATTTGTTTTTGTTTTTGCAGGAAATATCACAGTTTGGAGAAGGTATGTATATTCATTGATTCCTTTTATGACGGAAAATAAAAGTCCCAGGCATAAAAAATGTGAAACAATTCTAACAAAAAAAATAACGGCCTTATTTAAACAACACAATTTACTAAAATCAAAAATGACACATAAACCATCAACAACCACTGAATTACAGGCTCCTATTTTAATTCTGTTTGTTTTGTTCACACATTGTTGTCAATATAATGGAATTCTATGTGACTGTCATACAAGTGAGAGGTTTAGCTAGCTATAAAACCAGGTTTAATGCACCATTTTCTACATAAGGAAATGCCTGTACCAAGTCAGGAATATGACAGAAGTTTTCCTATTGTTAGGTGTGTTTGAGCTTTTGATTTTGCAATTTATAAAGGACTTTCTGTTTTGAATTTCCTTTGGAGTTTGGTATTTTTGTTATTTTACTTTTTGCTACAGAGACATAAAGAATGTGGCGGGGTTATAATCATGTTTGTGATCTCTAAACTGGGACAGTGGTGTTACAACACTAGTTATCAAATACCCCTTACAGCTATTTAGTCCAATCGGGAAAAATGTCACTTAGACAATTTTCTGTTTGGGTAAAAAAAAAAGGTAAAATAAAAGTACCGAACTCCAAGGGAAATTCAAAACGGAAATTCCTTTATAAAATAGCAAAATCAAAACACATCTAACGAAGGGAAAACAACTGTCATATTCCTGACTTGGTACAGGCATTTCCTTATGTAGAAAATGGTTGCAAAAATAAAAGTCTTTGGTAGTGAGCTGAGGGAGGAAAAAGTTTAGAAAGTGAAAATTTCGAAATTTTGATCCATTTTTTTGAAACACAAATTAAAATTATCACAATGCTTTGTTTGAAGGGTTTACATGTCTCTTTGAATAGTTTTATACTAAATACATTGTTTAAACAGGGCCCCAGAAAGCTTCAACTGGATTGTGATATCATGAAAAAGTTGCGTAATATCAGAACTTATCCGGATTGGAATAAACAGTGATAAGGTGTATTTCAAACATGCCATGTTCACAGAAAATATAACAAGACTGAAAAGATATGCTTTAGATCGTATTCTTCGGATCTCTCTCAATTACATTGTCTTAAACTAATCTTATATATCTCTACAGTTGTTCCAGTAAAATGTACATATTCTATTCGCCGTCCATCTGTCTCTTCTGTGGCCAGTACCGAGGAACCAGTAAATATGGAAACCAGTGAAACAACACCTGTCTCTCATTCAGAAAGTAAGTAGTTGATGTTGGAGGGAACCAGTCATTTTATTCTATGGCATTTTCTGTAGAGTCAGTAGAAATGGCAACCAGTAAGTCACCACTTCTCTCTGGTGTAGTTACCCTGACGACAAAGTTTAATTCAGTTAGGGACTTAACCTTTCTTTAAGGTCAAAATTAGCATTTTACACAGTTATGGGTACCAGTGTCTAATTTAGGAAGAACCAATCACTGTATGTTGAGTGAAGATCAAGTCAGGGGTTTTCAGTCCATTTCAAACATGTCAATTATCTGTCCTTCATGCACAACAAAGATTTGTGTCAGGTTTCAGGAGATGTGTGGTTTTATGTCAATGAGAAGTCGGTGATAACACTCTTGACTCATAAGGGTGTGAAATGCAATTTTATGAAAAGCTGAGAATTTTGATACAAGAAGAGGGAAGACAGAATAAATAATTTTAGCGGCTTTCACATATTTTTGTCCAAAAATCAATAGACTACTTAAATTTGTGCATGTTTCCGTAAATTTAGGAAGTCAAAATTCTTATTTTATCAGATCAAAGTAAGAACCGATGGTTCAATAATTTCATTCATGCTGATTGAACTTGGGTCAACAGTTGTAACTCATTCTTAAAAAAAAAACAGCTCAAGATTGATCTGTAGAACAATACACTAATTTGATGCGGGCCTTTATTTTTTTTTAATTACTGAATTAAGGGAGTATTTTTATATACTGGAACATCCTGTTTGGTCTTAATAGCTTTATCCTTGGTTCATGGTATAAGTTTTTACTAATTATGTAGAACATTATTAGATATCAGTATTCTGAATTATAAGTTTTTACTAATTATGTAGAACATTATTAGATATCAGTATTCTGAATTATAAGTTTTTACTAATTATGTAGAACATTATTAGATATCAGTATTCTGAATTATAAGTTTTTACTAATTATGTAGAACATTATTAGATATCAGTATTCTGAATTATAAGTTTTTACTAATTATGTAGAACATTATTAGATATCAGTATTCTGAATTATAAGTTTTTACTAATTATGTAGAACATTATTAGATATCAGTATTCTGAATTATAAGTTTTTACTAATTATGTAGAACATTATTAGATATCAGTATTCTGAATTATAAGTTTTTACTAATTATGTAGAACATTATTAGATATCAGTATTCTGAATTTTAGGTGAGGACGCACATCCACATGGACTGGATCGTAAGGCAACAGAAGAAGTAGCAGAACTACAACAACGACTTAAGAATTCTCTTCATGTTCAGGTACAGATATGTCTGCTTTTTATGTGGAGTTGGTCGTAATGATTAACAACCAGGAACAGTAATTTGAGTGGTTTATTTGGTGTGAATATCTGCTTTTTAGGTGGGGGTTGTGTGTAATGATCGACAACCAGGAACAGTTATTTTGAGTGGTTTATTGGGTGTGAATATCTGCTTTTTAGTAGGGGGTTGTGTGTAATGATTGACAACCAGGAACAGTTATTTGAGTGGTTTATTGTGTATGAATGGTTGGGAATAATATGAATTCTGGAACATGGTGAACTAAGGTTTAAAGTATTTTATGTTGGATTGGCAGAGGTTAAAATTTGTGTTAAACAAAGTAAGGTTGTAGGAATTATGTTTATTTAAGATTTACCAGTTTACAAGGCAGTTATGAAATCACTTATAAAACCAATTGTCATGCTAATTTTCTCTGAATCTGTCTGAAGGCATTGAAATGTTCCCTGAATCTGTCTGAAGGCATTGAAATGTTCTCTGAATCTGTCTGAAGGCATTGAAATTTTCTCTGAATCTGTCTGAAGGCATTGAAATTTTCTCTGAATCTGTCTGAAGGCATTGAAATTTTCTCTGAATCTATCTGAAGGCATTGAAATGTTCTCTGAATCTGTCTGAACGCATTGAAATTTTCTCTGAATCTGTCTGAAGGCATTGAAATTTTCTCTGAATCTATCTGAAGGCATTGAAATTTTCTCTGAATCTGTCCTCATCTTATGGAAAACCATATTAAAATTCTTTTGGCCTGTAGTAAAATTCTTACAGGCCTGTTTGAAACTTTGGGTTGGTGGTTCACTGTGAAGACAGCATTAAAAATTTTCTCAGAATCTGTTTAAATGCTTCAAAATTTTCTATGAATCTGTTTTAATGCATTGAAATTTTCTCTGAATCTGTCTGAATGCATCAAAATTTTCTCTGAATCTCTGAATGCATCAACAAATTTTTATTATTTACAGGGCTATGACAAGTCATCACCAAGACCTAGTAGCAGCCAGGATAGCAGAGGTATGGCCAACATTAATAACAGAAAAAAAGGGTCTAGAATCAAGAGAACAAGTGGGGCGAGGGGCTTTGGGTTGTGTTGATTGTCGTTAGCTTCAGATCTTGAGAAAAAATCATTGAATGCAGTGTGCTGAAAATTTACTAGTTCCGGAAAAGCATTGGAAATATCTGTGTCTTCTTAAGGATGATTGCTGCTCTTGTTTTTGACCTTTTTCAGATATTCGGAATCCTCTTGTTTTATCCATTTAGTGACAATAAAAAAATGGCCTATAAACCTTAATTTCTTTTCATAATTTTATTACATATATAGTTTTTATTAAAAAGGCATTTTTTTAAAAAATTTATAAAATCCTTGTTATTTTTTCATAGTTTCTGAAATTAAAGATGCCAATGCTAAGTGTATGAAAAATCTAGAGAGAATCAATTCCAGACAAATTTTCAATTGATTATATTTCAAAAACAAGGACAAAAAGCTTTCATTTTTTTCTGCTTTTTAGGTTCCGTTATTTATAAACTATCAATTTATATAAGTATTCTAAAAAGCATCTTATTTTGAAACAGACTTGTGAATATCCTTATGGACAATGCCAATACTAGTTCTGGAAAAGCTTTGTAAAGATCTGTGTCTTGACTTCCTCTTTATACAAAAACAGGATAGTGGTAATTATCGCTATTTTCTCAAATTTTCTTTTGATCTTTTTAGTCCTCTACCGACGAAGTCGAGGGGACTTTAGGTTTGCACTCTGTCTGTCCATCCGTCAGTCCGGCAAATCAATTTTCCACTCTTTTTTTCTTTGTGCTTGAAGATATTGATTTGTTATTTGGTATATTGTTTTATCATGACAAGTTACAGATCAAGTTCGAATTTTATTCTGGTCTGATGATTATGTGCAGAGTTATGGTCCTCAGACTAAGAAAATTCACTTAAATAATCAGTTTTCCACACTTTTTTTCGTCATGCTTGAAGATATTGACTTGATATTTGTTATATAGTTTACATCATGACAAGTTATAGATCAAGTTAGCATTTTGTTCCAGTACAATGCATTTTTAACCGGAAGGGGACTATGTATTGCCGTGCAATACTCTCAGAATGCTTGTTTATGATAATTTTTTATATCGTGCTACTCTAATGATATGGGATTTTCTCAGTCCAATAGAAAGAGAATAGTTGCCTAGGAAAATAGGAATAAGCAGATTATCAATGGTCTTTCAAACTCTAGAAAGTTTCTCTGCTCAATCTCATCTCAGGGCTGTCACTCTTCCGTGAGATTTTGGCTGGGAAATTCCCTCTTGTTTGAAGAATAATCTAAAAATATCATAGACTTTTTCATTATCCTCATACCAAACTGAAACAAAGTAGAATTTATTAAGTAATAATATACATGAACAGAGACATCATTTTACAAAAGGTTTCATGATACATAATTAAAGCCATCTTACACACTCATTTCTCTGTCCTTACCTTATATCAAAATAAGGAGACGTGGTATGATTGCCAATGAGACACCTATCCACCAGAGATATGGTATGATTGCCAATGAGACACCTATCCACCAGAGATGTGGTATGATTGCTAATGAGACACTTATCCACCAGAGATGTGGTATGATTGCCAATGAGACACCTATCCACTAGAGATGTGTTATGATTGCCAATGAGACACCTATCCACCAGAGGTGTATGATTGCCAGTGAGACAACTATCCACCAGAGACGTATGATTGCCAATGAGACACCTATCCACCAGAGATGTGGTATGATTGCCAATGAGACACCTATCCACCAGAGACGTGGTATGATTGCCAATGAGACACCTATCCACCAGAGATGTGGTATGATTGCCAATGAGACACCTATCCACCAGAGATGTGGTATGATTGCCAATGAACCACCTATCCACTAGAGACGTGGTATGATTGCCAATGAGACACCTATCCACCAGAGACGTGTGATTGCCAATGAGACACCTATCCACCAGTGACGTGGTATGATTGCCAATGAGACACCTATCCACCAGAGATATGGTATGATTGCCAATGAGACACCTATCCACCAGAGATGTGGTATGATTGCCAATGAGACACCAATCCACCATCCACCAAAGACGCTGTATGATTGCCAATGAGACAACTATCCACCAGAGACGTGGTATGATTGCCAATGAGACACCTATCCACCATCCACCAAAGAAGCTGTATGATTGCCAATGAGACACCTATCCACCAGAGACATGGTCTGATTGCCAATGAGACACCTATCCACCATCCACCAGAGACGTGGTATGACTGCCAATGAGACACCTATCCACCATCCACCAGAGACGTGGTATGATTGCCAATGAGACACCTATTCACCAGAGAGGGGGTGTGATTGCCAATGAGTCACCCATCCACCAGAGATGTGGTATGATTGCCAATGAGACAACTATCCACCAGAGTTAAAAGTTTCAAGTACAGTTATTGTAATGTACTCCATTGCAGATATCAACCAGCAATTCTGGATTTAATGTTTGGTGTTCAAATTTTGTACTCTGATTACTAAGTAAAGTTTTATGATCAAAAGGCCTGGATTATATGAACTGACTTATGGCCTGCATGCTATGAACTATTTGTTAATTCGACCCTGACCATAAATTGATAATTTTTTTTCAGAAAATCCACAGAACCAACGAAGACAAGACCAGAGACAATATGGTGGACCAAGACCACAGTCAGGGCAGAGAGGTCGTGGCTATGGTTACAGAGGTAGAGGTCGAGGAGAAGGCTACAGGGGCAGAGGTCGTCCTAGAAGTCCAAGGAAAGACTACCCACAAGAAGGAAGGGGAACTAACTCTAATGTCAATTCTAGTCTTTAATTTTTTTTCAGCAACAGTATTAAACTGCTGATTACAGAAACATGTTTATTGAAATGAAAAGTTTATAGATTCTTGTTAAAATGTGATAAAAAAAAATTGTAAAAAAATATATATATTGCACACCTTGTAGTCAAAATACTGTAATTTATTCATTCTATTTTTAGAAATTTATTGTAGAAAGTTACAGGGTGAAAATGTTTTTGTTATAATTATTTTTCTGAGTAACAACGAAATTCCTGACATTAACAGGATGATGTTTAATGTATTAAACTGTGGGTTTTTGTTTAGTTGTAGAATCTATTAAGAGATAAAAATCACAGGAAATATTTTTTGTTGCTTAAAATACTGTGATCATCCATATATTTTTTTGTTAAATTTTCATTGTTGGTAACTCACAAGTGATTTGGATGTTAGGGCTATTCCATTTAAATGTATGTGGGAGGGTAGGAAGGGACTTTCAAAATATACCTGCAACCAAGAACCATTTTTTAGATAATATTGCATAATGGTAATAGACGCATACTGAAAAAAGACCCATGACCCACATTCAATAATTAAACTTCCCTTCCTACCCTCCCACATACATTTTAATGGAATAGCCCTTTCTCACTTTTAAATACAATGTTTTCTTTCTTCTGCTTATCATAGATCCATCCATGATCAATTTAGAGGGCCAATTAAATATCTTGAAAATAAGATTTATGTCAGGCTTAACTTTCATTTAAAGTTTGATATTTAGGGTAGGAGGAAAAATTAAGATGTGCTAGAGGTTAAATATGAACTAATGCTAGGAGGTTAAATCTGAACTAGTGCTAGGAGGTTAAATTTAAACTTATGCTAGAAGGTTAAATTAAAACTTGTGCTAGGAGGTTAAATTTGAACTAGTGCTAGGAGGGTAAATTTAAACTAGTGCTAAGAGGTTAAATTTGAACTAGTGCTAAGAAGTTAAATTTGAACTAGTGCTAGGAGGTTAAATGTAAACTAGTGCCTCTGCGAACTTCAAAATATTTACTGTCTCTTGAAGTCTTAAATTTAAGTTAAAAAAAAATGTCCTTTTGAAATTTTAAAAGTTGAGTTACTACGGTTACTCACTACAGGATTTTCAAGTTTATTGATAAAGTGAGACGTGCATTAACTGATTGTTACTGACATCATACATTTACATCTATATTTTATATTCACTTCTCAATGTTGCCATTATCATTATTATTTCAGTCCTGTATATTCTTCTGTCCTCAATACTCTTCTGTCCTCGAGGAGTTAGAGGTAGAATGTTTAATAATTTAATATGCAGGTTTCCTTCTCATCTGTTTTTTTTGTTTGTTTTAGAATCCACAAATTGACTGTTAGATGCACTTCACTCATTTCCTGGAAATAAGAGACAATGAAGCTTATGCAAATTTTATGTTAATCAGAATTGCAAACGAAAAAACTTCCAAACTGACAAAATACCTGTTTATGGCATTTGAATTTAGTGTGTCCGAAACACTTTCTGAATTAATTTTCATCAAGAACTCTCAATTCCAAAAATTTGAAAGCTAAGTTTATACAAATACATGAGAAGCCTAAAGGGAATAGCTAAATCCACCTAAGGTCATCTTTGCCTGAGGGAGATAAAAACCTTAGTTTCTGAATAATTTCGGAATTTATGAACAGAGAAACTAAGAAAAATTTGATCATGTCAGTACAGAAGCACTTACTACTGAGTTGAATAAGGCCAAACTCTTTTTTTTTTAATTTGTATTTATAAAATGGTTGTACATCTAAACTGTTGTTTACTTTCCGAGTCTTGATTTGCTCAAAAAAGGTTCATAATCTCAGTGCTGACTATGGCATATTATTGCATCATTTTAATGTTTTATTAGTGCTATAAATAAATGAAAAGGGAAAAAGAATCCCTATAGAAAATTAAGCAAAGCGCACAAGACATATCCTCAAGATTTTCAATGCTTCAATTTTAAGATCATATTTTCTTTATTTATTTTCTTTTTTTCCCCCTCTCAAAGTCATAACTTTTATTGTTTTTCAAGAAGCATGTTAAATAAAACCCAGGCATATTTAGAATTTCAAACTGATTGTCTCCCCTTTTATTTTTCATGACACCTTATTTTTAGCATGATATTGTATTTATTTAGATGCTTGAATATATGAATGTTAATCTTTTAATCAGGTATTACCTATCTAGTCTATATGTTGAAGCAGTTTTCCTTGATTATTTCATTTGGTACAAAAGGGTCTGGATGGGGTTTACAGAATTAAGAATAATGGGCTAAAAGTGCAGAATAAAAGGGCGCAAAATATAAAGAATAGAGAAAAATAGGCCAAAAAATTATGATAAGAGAATATCAAATAGGATGCTGAAATATAAAGAATAGAGAAATGAAGGACCCCCATCAAGACCCTCGTACAGGCTTGCTTAAATTATACCTGTTGCTTTGTATAAAAGTACTAAGATTTTGTCTGTATTTGATTTGTTATATAGATTTCTATTGGTCCTTTTTAAATGTCAACTGTATTTTCATTGGCTTGTTTAAATTCTACTTGTCTCTTTGTGTAAACAATATTTTCCTATATTAGATTTTTATTTGTTCTTTCAAAATTACTGTATTTTAATGTACTGTTGAAAATTTTCTTGTCTTATATTTTGAAGGTCAGGTTGCGATTTAAAAATCTTGATTTTGACTAATATTCGTAAGGTGCCAGTCTTTGTAAGAATCAGTTCAAGTTCAAAAGCTTTATTTATAGACGAGATCAATATTCAGAAATCATAAGCTCTATTGAGCTTTTATATCGTCTTATTACAAACAAAACATCTAAAACGTGGAAATTTAGAAGAATATCAAAACATGGCAGAAAAAACCCACTGATCTAACCATCCTATTTGGAAGTTACCCTCATCCTGAGTTAGAAATGGTAGGTCTTTTGTTTCTGCATGTCTGGTAATTCGAGAAATTTCTAGATAACTTTTGGTTAGAATGATAGCAAATTAATGAGTTAGCTCCCCTTAATTGGTAATTTCTAGTGCATTTTAACCAAGTCATATCTTGAATTACCAGAACTGGAAAAGGAAACAAATTATATATTCATGCACCATTATACATTTTGAACTTAAATTAATGCAAACTTGAGTGGGTTTTTATTATGCCCCACCTCTGATAGTAGAGGGGTGTATGTTTTTCTGTCTGTGCGTCCGTCCGTCCGTCTGTCCTGCTTCAGGTTAAAGTTTTTGGTCAAGGTAGTTTTTGATGAAGTTGAAGTCCAATCAACTTGAAACTTAGTGCACATGTTCCCTATGATATGGTCTTTCTAATTTTAATGCCAAATTAAAGTTTTGACCCCAATTTCACTGTCCACTGAACATAGAAAATGATATAGCGAGTGGGGCATCCGTGTACTATGGACACATTTTTGTTTGTCATGTTTTCACCACTGCCTGATTCTTAGACAGATTGGCACTTAATATTCATAAGGTATTATTGTTTTTAATGAATTACCATTTTTGCATAAAACAATTCTGTTGAATGTAATAGTGACAAAAAAAATGAAAAGACTAAACAAATCAAAAATTAAACTTATATTTGTACTTTTTCACAATATGGAAAAAAAAATAAAGTACAAATAGGGGGGGGGGGGGGGGGGGGGGTGCGGCTGTGGAAGGGTGATTCTGTTTTGTTATTTATTAAGGTGGAATGCACAAGAATTGTTAAGAAAATGACTTTCTATTTTCGGTTGTAAGATTTATTGCATGTAATTTTTATCTATAAGGCCACAACAATTTTTCGTGTAGTTCTGAAAGTATCTATTTTGCACCAGACTCTTAACAGATAGATATTTTCAATACTATTTTTTATCCCATATGCATCAACAGAAATATCAAAATTCCATCATTTAAGTCATTTTTGAATATTATATGCAAGTTGCTTATTATTGTTATAATAAAACTAAAATAACAAATAAATAATAAAAAAAAAATTATATGACATTAAATATGTTTTAGATTGCAACAGTTTCTATCATGATTTTAATGTAATAATTGTTTTTTGCATCTTCTGTCAAAGGCATATTTCAAATAATGTATATTCAAAGTTTTAATAGATATAATCATAAATCACGAATTGAAATGTATTAATACAAAAAATCTTGACAGATAAATAGAAAAACTGTAATAAATATATGCTAAACAGGAAACCAGATGAGAAATTTAAAGTTCAATAAGAAAAATGGATATGGTTAATTAAAAGTGGTTATCTGCATGAAGTTTTGAAAGTTAACGATCCTACTGGTGCAAGTTTTAAAAACTAAAAATGAAATTGTTGTGGCCTAAAGCATGGTTTTTCCCTGTTCTATTGTTATTGTTGAACTTATTTATATTATAATTAGATGTTTACTTATACACATATATGTATTTCTTAAACAGGGTTGGGAACAGGACTTAGTTGAAAGTACGTGCCAAAGCATAAAAGGGGGTCGTCTAAAAATGTAAGAGTTGATTCTAAAGACTACTCAATGTTTCCAGGTAATCTAAACATGATTAATTACAATAAACTCCTAACTCATCTGAATGGTAAATGATGAGTTTTTTTTTTACTTATCTTCAAATTTATGTTAAAATTTTCCTTAACATTTATATTTTGCTATGAAATTACAGTACCAATTGTGATTTTAGTCCTGTTTCACTAGACCTTGTTTAGGGTCTTGTTTCAGAGCGCCAAAACCTCTAAACAAGGCTCTGTCAAATTATATTCTACGCTTGTTGATCATATAGTCAGTATTCATGTACATAAAGTTGTTATCAATATACACATATTATTTTGTGCAATGTATTTAGGGCTACTACCTTCATGTGTCAAATTCTGTTTACCTCCTTAAAACATTTATTTTTTTTATGGTTAATTAATTTTTTCCCTATGTAGTGAGTGCTTTTTGTAGTAGCATACTTGAGAAGTTTTGTGTTAACTTTTGTCCTTATTTAAAGCCAGAATTTTCTTACATTTCAATACATTTTACAGTACGAAGAAAAAATAATGTTTTCTTCCTTAAAGAAAAGTGGAAGTGATGTTGTATATTTCTATATGAACTGTCTACTTAAGATTTATTGATTAGGAAATTCCATAAGTTCGTAATATTTCTGTCATAAGTGAGATTTGGAATCTGCTAACTTGACTTTTTTGTAGGTTATTTAGATTCAAATCCTAAGTTTTATACAAGCTACAAGTTTGAATGTATAGAAAAAAAAGGGGGAAAGAATTTAACTTAAACATTGATTTACACCTAATTTAGAAACGCCATTGAAAGTTATCTATCTTTAATGGATAAGTACATGTGAATGTTTGTGGCTTTTTGTTACAAGGATAAGATTGAATGAGTAAGTATATTCTCTTCTCATGTTTCCAAATTTTCCATAACATATTAGATTTGCCCATCTTTTCAAAAACAAGTACAGTGATCTATCTTTTTTTTTCTCAAATTTTTGCTCTATTTTCACATATTGATCGGTGTGAGAAAAATATTTGCCCATCTTTTAATTAACAAGCAGAGGGATCTACCTTTTTTATGTCCCGCCGTAGCGGATGGGGCATTAAGTTTTACCTTGTCCGTCTGTACGTCCGTACGTATGTCCCAAAATTGGTTTCCGTTCTCTAACTTTAGTTTGCCTCAACCAAATGTTATGAAACTTGTACACAATGCTTATTACCACAAAATGGACACATTCCTCATTTATTTCCATAACTTTGATTAACTATACATTATACATTTAACAATTATTTGGCTCTAAAGTTGATACTTTGAGTTTCCTCCACAAATATCTTTAGTTGACATATGTTCATTTGTAAAGGATAACAGGGAACTAAATGAATATCTGTCTGTTTGATTCTGTGAGAAAAAATGGTAACGAGTTCTGGCACTGTTGATCTATTGCCAGATTATATATTTTCAATGGTATTTTTACACCTAATGTAAGAGTAAGCAAGTAATTATTCTATGTAAATATAAGGTTAAACAAATAGTTCTTTACAAAATTGTTAACAAAAAAGTTATATTTTTACTTACTTTCAGACAAATTACAGAATATAATCACCTTTCCTCTGATCTAATTTCCTTAAGGAAAAAGACCAGTCCTGACATAAGAGTTGGAATTTTACAAAAATATATCTGACAATGTGGGTTTTTGAACTTTTATTCAATCTTTTTTTTTTTAGAGAAACAACATCTTGAAAATATCTTACCAAATTGTTGAGAGGAAAACAAAATTGATATAATACATTTATTCAGTCAACTTTGATGGTGATAAAAAGTAAAATAACAAAAATACCGAACTCCGAGGAAAATTCAAAAAGGAAAGTCATGGTGATAAATTATTTTTTACTTTATAATAAAAACATTTTAACAGATCGAGAAAGAATTTTTTCCATCTATGAAATGTAGTATTGTATAAAACATGAAAATTTTTATATCAGATAATTGAAAAAAAAGAAACTTCACAAAGGGGGAATAACTTATGTTAAACTTTTGTCATGGAAGGGAAAATTATTATTTTGTGAATTGTCTAAAAGTGTGTCTACTTAATCAGGTCATAACGTGCCAACAAAAACTGTGATTTTATTTAAATTTATTTTTTCTGAAACTACTGTTGTGTCTATGTGTAACTGTAAAATCAGAATTTAATGCATTCTTTGACATCACACCCTAATGTTAGAATAAGCATGTTTGTGTCAACAATTCTAAGCTTCTAATTTTCTACCACTTGATTTTTTACCTTCTTACATGTTTTGCATAAAAAAAAATCATTAACTTCTGAATTTACAGTTTGCCATAAAATGATAATAGAAATATTCTTAGATTCTCACACATCAAGTCCATCATTTACTATCTGCCTTATTTTTATGCCCCTGCTATAGTAGAGGGGCATTAAGGTTTACCCTTGTCTGTCCATCCGTACGTCCCGAAATTGGGTTTCCGTTTTCTAACTTTAGTTTGCCTCAACCAAATGTTGTAAAACTTATACACAATGCTTATCATCACAAAACTCAGATCAAGTTTGAATTTGGGTGGCGTCACTTTTACCGCTGTAGAGTCATGCCCGTTCACAAATGGAAAAAATGTTGAATTTTTTGTTTCTGTTCTCTAACGTTAGTTTGTCGCAACCAAATGTTATGAAACTTATGCACAATGCTTATTACCTCAAAACACAGATCAAGATGGAATTTGGGTTGTGTAACTTTTATTGTACTTAAGTTATGTCCCTTTATAAAGTTATATGCAAGTGGGGGCATCAGGACACATTCTCCATTTATTTAGTTATTTGATTGTTTCCTTCAAAAAATTGAGAATCAAAGAATATTTTTATTAAGGCCTCTTTAAATTTTGTATAATGCTTGATACTTATTGGGAATAGCTGTAATACATTGTGATGTATTTCGTGTTGGCCTCATTAGGCCATATATGTTGAAATGATTTTTAACAGGAACAGAATAATATGACAAGGCTGTTAAAAGTATATTGTATTTTTAAAATTTTCTGACATCTTATGTTACAGGAACATGTCCTACAATCCTATACTGTATTTTTTT